TGGCATGTTTGTACCTACTTCCTGAGAGGGGCTCGACTATTCTTAGACCTACTGGTAAGCACCCTCTTGCAGGTGGCTCAGCTACCTAAAGCCAGAATGGGTATAAGACCTACGGGATCATCCCCTAGAAAGATGGATGGCTCAGTATCACACAACTGTACCCCTGTCCCTGTGAATATGATGTAATTTTGGCTATTTCTGTCTTTGTCACTTAATTCCTTGAGGCTGCCCACTGCTCTAGACTTCAGCCCTAAGTCTCCTACGTCCTCCCCTGATCCCACTCTGCTAATAAACTGCTCGATAAAGCATCAATCTAATGAGTTTTCATTTCATGGGAATCCTGACCCCCTCTGGACTTTTCCCAAAACAAACTCTTCAGGCTCCAAGAGACTCAAGCAATAGGAATGACTGACAAGAGGGAGCCTGGGCAATCCTAACAGTCAAACATTATCCTTATAGCAAGTCTTTGAGGTAGGTGCTATTATTAGCCCCATTTTGGAGATGAAGAAATGAGGAAATGTCTGAGATGGGATTTAAACCCAGGTCTTCCTGACTTCGAGACCAGCCCCGCCTAAGCAGAACACCCAACATACAGGGGTTAGCTGGGCTCTAAGTAGAGGTAATTCAGGGGTCTAAAGCCTCTAAAAGAAAAAAAAAAGTCTAAATATAAAGTGTTATAGCCACGATTTGGGGCCAACTTGTTCACAGTGACGTAACTAACCTGTCCCTTCCTGCTGGGGAGATGGAACAAACTGGGGCTATGGCTCCTGCGGGCACAGCCTCCTGCCCACTATTGCTGTTGATCAGTTTTGTCAGACTCTTTGTGAACTCATTTGGGGTTTTCCTGGCAGAGTTACTAAGTGGGGTTTGTCATTTCCTTTTTCAGTTCATTTGACCCGCCCAGGATCACACAGCCAGTAAGTGTCTGAGGGCCTCATTTGAACTCAGGTCTTCCTGACTCTAGGTCTGGTGTACTAACCACGGTGCCACCTAGCTGTCCTCTCTTGCCCAAAGTAGGTCTTTAACAAAATTTTGTCAAATTAAAGTTGATAATACAGTCCTAGGGTCAAAGCCATACTGACTTGCTGCCTACTCTGAAGTTTGGTGCTCTGACACCTAGAACTAAGTTTAAGAAGGAGGAGAGGAAAAGGCTTAGAGTAGCTACCATAGCTCCCTGAAGCTTCCTCCACCACTTCCTACTACTGTGTGTAACCCAGAAGGCTGTCTAGGGAAATGCAAATCTAAAGGCAAATAGAAATTTGGTCCTATATACAGGCCATTGTATTGAGAGAAAAATGTAGTTTTTGAAAACTTGGAAAAAGCAAACCAGCATGGGTTCACTAAAAATAAGTCATACCAAATTATATAAAAAGGGCAAAACTCCCTAACTCTTTCCACAAGGGCCATCAGGGTAGATTTCATTGAGGAAGTAGCAGCTAAGTTGAATGCTGAAGGAAAAAAAGGATTTTGAAAGGCATAGATGAAGAGGGAGTACATTTTAGATACAAACTGTTTGAATGCATGAAATATGCTCCACTGAGGAGTAAGACCTCCATTTTCTCTGTGACTTTGATACTGGAGTGATACCTGATAACATTTCCCTGTAAAGTTCCCTCAGAGGCCTACCTGAAAAATTTAGTTTAGAATTCAGATCTTAATAAGAACTATTGCAACCACTCAAGAGTTGGGATTTCAGATTTTTATTGGAGCAGGTTGCCAGCCACTGAGGAGTTTTAATGTTATTCTGTTTGGTAAATGTACTTTAGATCTATAATGTGAGTGTGTAATCCTTTGGGTCACATGAAGTTGGGAAGGAAATAAGAAGCTTAATGGAAGGGGGTTGGAGACATTTTGATATGAAACAAGTTACAGATTGACAAACATCTATTAAGCAGCCACAATGGGGTGGACAGAGTGCTAGGAGCTGGGGATACAGAAGTGGAAAACAAAATGGTCCTTACCCTCAAGGAGTTTATATGCTAATATCTGTACTTCCAGCCCTGGCTAGGGTAAGCATTAAAAGGAAACCCTGAAGTGGGAGAATATAGGAAAGGCAGGCTATGTCTTTCTGAGAAAGAGGGAAAGGAAACAGGAGCAGCTTGAGCTCAGAGCACCACCTGGTGACTTTTGGAGAGACCACACTTTAAGCAGCCCATGGGCTGTCTACCATTCCACTCTTAGCACTCCTGCTACACTCCCCTTACACAGGGAGATGGCATGTTATTTCATGGAAGAGCAAGAAGGTCAGCTTGGTTGGAATATAGAGTGTTTGAAGAGAAGTAATATGAAATAGCCTGTTAAAGCAAACCAAAACCAGACTACAGTGTCTCAAGTAGGGGCAATAAGGAGTCACTGAGGGCTTTTACATACTAGAATGACATCATCAGACCTGTTCCTTAGGAAAAGTATTTTGGCACCTCTGTGAAAGATGGGTTGGAGAAGGGAGTGACTAAAGGCATGGAGACAAATTAGGAACTTATTTTAGTTCAGTCAGGAGGTGAGAAAGGTATAGGGTACATGGATGAGATGGGGATGATGGCAGAGATGGTACAGAGACAGAATTAACAGGATTTGGTGATGGAATGGATGTGAAGCAGCAAAAAGAGTTTTTCTGAGTTTATCAAATGGGTAAAAGACACAAAGCTGTAAATGATAGTAATGGATTACTGAATCAAGATTTTAAAAGCTCTCTAACAAGCTGGAACAAAATAAAATTTAATAGGGAAAAATGTAAAATTTTTACTTTGGTCCTAAGTTACTTTGTACAAGATCAATTATAACAGCAGATATTTCAGAAAAACCTCAGGAGCTGAGAAGCAGCTGTGGCACTAGAGATAGAGAGCTGGGCTTAGAGTCATCAAGAAATAGGTTTCAGACCTGCCTCTGAAACATACTGGCTGTGTGGCCCCAGGCAAGTCACTGAACCTCTCAGTGCCCTAGTTACTCTAAGATCATGAACTACAGAGCAAATGCCAACTGGCATCAATGGAGGGAGTTTCTTCACTAGCAGGTTTCCTAAAGTGATGAAATCAAACGTTGGGTCCAAAAGGAAAAGGAAAGAAGAGAAGAAGTCTTAGAGGTTTTACTTAATAAGAGCAAATAGTGTGACATGGCTACCAAGAAAGCTAATATATCTTAGGCTATGTTATTACAAAATCTCCAAAGCAGAAGTAATACTTTTGCTGCACTCGGTACTGATAGAACACACCTGCAACGTATGCAGCTTCAGCTGACACTTAGGAGGGATGACTGAAAATATGGAGCACAACCAGATGAAGATTACAAAGACAGTAAAGAATTTCTAAGAATTGTCCTAGGAGGAATGGTCAGAAAAGTTAACAAGTGTTAGTATGATAAAGGGAAGACCACAAAGAGGAAAGGGAATATAACAGGTGTCTTCAAACGCCTAAAAACTGCTTTGTGACACATCTACATAAATGAAGATAACTTTACACAGCAACAATTCTCAGAGATATATACATATACATACATACATACATACGTATATATATATGATAATGCTAATACTGATTAAAGTTAAAGCATATGCCTTCCTTTTCAAGAAATTACAAATTGCTGAAGTATAATAATACAGCATGTGTTATTAGTTTAAAAGATGGCAGAGAACAATTTCAACTGTTTTAAGAGACTGTACATAATGGGGGACTGAACTGTGAGTTGGAGATCTGTATGAAATGTTGAAACAATTTATCAATAAAAAAAGAAAAAATTGACACATGGAAGAGAGATTTGATTTTTTGGTGGTGGTGGTGGGGGTAACTTCACAAGGTAGATGATTTAGGATCAATGAGTGAAAGTTGCAGGCAAATTTCCACTGGAATTAGGATGAATTTTCTAAAACTTATACCTGTCCGAAAATTCAACAGGCTGCCTTGTGAGGTAGTAAAGTTCATCATCACTGGAAGCATTACAGCAGACTAGAAATCTAGCCGTCAAGAACTGGCCAATTCAACTTGTGACCACTGAAGCATACTCTCAAGGCACCATGTCTGATTCATCACTTACATTTCCTCCACTCATAAACAATAACTGGACCTACTTCTTGAAACTGTTCTTTTCTTGTGTCTGCATCTTTCTGGTAGTGCAGACAGGATTCCCATTCCAACACATGTATGTGGTACCTAAAATAATGCCTGTAATTGCCATAAGTGTGAGTGGCTACAATTCTATAAGCTTATTGAATTATAACTTTATATTCTAGTTTGTTTATGAAATAATAGCAAGAGCTTTTTTATTTTAGCTAATCCTTGACAAGTTTAAACAAATGAAGATGGGGGGGCAGGGGAGGATGGGACTGTTCTACCTGGCAGGGATGTTGTAAAAGAGATTTTTGCACTGGGTGAAAGGCCGAACTGAATGACCTCTGAGGTTCCTTCCAACTCTTCTAAGATTTTATGAAATCAAACTTAGGTCACTGTTTTATTTTGTAAGTTGTGGTGTGTCTTGATGATGATATTGTCAGCGACTCTGTGCAAGGTCTCTATGAAGTCTAAAAGAAATAAACAATTTCTGATAGGAACTGCTGAAGAACAGCTATCTAAAATACTACAGATGGTCTACGAGTTACATAAAAACTACAGTTCTAGATTTATTAGCCAGGAACTTTTTGGGAGGTGCCTTAAAAAACTTTAAAATTCTTCTGGATAAAACAGTAACCTCTAACTTTTTCTAAATTAGTAATATATTTACACTTGAACTGATAACTCACTAAATGCAAATTAACACTCTGCTTAGCACAGTGACTGGCACATAGTAGGTAGTACTTAACAAATGTTTATTGACTGCTTATTAATATAAATGAGAAAAGAGGATGGTGCTTATTAAGTTTTTAGTAACTATATCTCCCACATTGTCTAATGACAAATGCTGAAAATTTACTTTATTTTGTGCAACATAAGCTTCCCAGAAGTCTACTTCTCTATAAATAATGTATTCCACATTAAGGTGGCAGACTAAAGTATGTTTTAAAAAATACTTACTGAGCTGCCCCTTCCCTGAGAAGATTGTCATTGTTAAGTAGTAACCGGACATCTGGTGAGAAAATATTAAAAGAAATGAGAAAAGGACAAACATATTAATTTTTTTAAGCAACATCTAGGTTAGATCATTAGGCATTAAAAAACTAATATTTGTACGGATATGTCACCAGACAGTAACAAATGCAAATAAATTCTAAGGATAGGAACAGGCACAGTGACTGGATCTGTGATTTCATGCAGGTGAGCACTTTCCTTGTAACTTACAGCACTGAGGTTAAGTGACTTGCCAAGGGTTACACAGCCAGGATGGGTCACAGGTAGGACTTGAAGCAAGCCCTCAATCTACACTGCCATACTGTGTCTCAGACTCTGGGCCTACTACTTCTATAGAAGGTACTACGTAAATAAAAAACATCGAAGGCTTCTTTCAAAAAATTTTACATCGAATGACAATACCCTAGTTAGTATCATTTTACCTGAAAATTACAAATAAGCATTCTTGGTCCTTTATATCTTAGAAGATCTTAATACATTCATCTAGATGAAAATAAAAGAATCTTCTGAAAATACTAGACACTGGTCAATGGCAGTGATTTTGCTCAATGTTTCTCTATGTAGCGGTCAGTTGCCTTTTAAAATGGATGTGCCCAAATTCCTCTCACCTTCCTTTTGGCATGCTGGGGAAGGCATTTGTGGATAAGAGAGGGAGTCTGATTATAAACCCAGAGGCTACTGGTGTTCAAAGTTCCCAGGAGGTAGAAGCAAGCATCTGACGTGCCAATAAAAATGTGCACTCATGCCACAGGAAAGTTGCCAACCTCTGGTCTAATATTTTGGTCTCATTTGTCTTCATGACACTCCACTGAAGTAAACATAATTGTTAGCTAAACAGGGAACTAAAGTTTGTTTCATAAGATTAAGGGCTAAAATGAATTAAAGTAAAAGTTTAAATAGCACTTTTTAGTTGCAATGAAAGTGTTTAAATTAGTCATTTGAAAGTTATGCTTAGAAACAATGGAGAGAACTTGTGGAAAAATTTACTATCCTCCATCCCCAAATAATCAGCATATGCTGACCTGGATAGTAAATAGTTATTGACCCTAATTCTGTTTTTGTTTTTTTTTTTCCTTTTGCTTTTGTTTCACTAGGTTGAGTCACTCAATATTAACAGCTGACATGCTTACAGTTTTTTTTTTAAACCGGTTACAACATTTTGGCATTCCAATATCATTTCTATCTAGAATCTTGAAATAAAGCAGCTATACTAGATTGAGCACTGAAATTTAATCATGATCAAAATGTACAGAAAATTCTGGAACTTATAACACAGGACGGTTTGTTTTATTATTATATTTGGGTCTCAAGAAATGATCAGATAATAAATTAAGACACAGGCATACACTTTTGTATTTCTTAATTTATACTGTCTACAATTTGGATCCATATCTTGGGATCATATGTTTTTTGCTGGTCCTTGATAACTTTTGTTGTTAGCCTCAGTTCTGGTTCTCATTCAATCAGTATTTTGGAAATTGGGGTAGTGGGAAAGATGATATGGAACCCTGGTATATGGGTAATGGGTTATCAAATATTTTGGCTTGGAGGAGATTTAAAGTAATGACTTGTAATGATAAAGAGAAAAATATGTGGTCAAGTCATTACATTCTTGTTCTCTAATGAAGCCATCATTTAACAATTTAACCCTTTACTGATGTTTAACTACTCACCATTAAACACTTCATTAAATTCTCCTGGGGGAGCATGAGTGATGAACTTGGCAGCTATCCGTACCTACAGGAAAAGCAGAGAATTAATGATTAGTGATTAGTGGTAGCTAATGTAAATGGTCAATGTATTAATATACATCTGAGTTGATTATGAGGTACATGTCTTTGTCTAATTATTCTATCTTTAGGAGAAAAGAGAAATTTTCATCATAGAATAACATATTCAGGAAAATGGACTTCAATTCTTTTTTTCTCTTTAGCCTCTAGAATAAAACCTCACATACATCTGTATCTTTCTTACTATCTCTTAGGTCTTAACTTCAGAAAATGTCCAGAGGTTATTAGTTTCTAAATGAATCAGATAGGGTGAAAATCCTAGGGAATACAGTTCCTCCTACAGTTTGGAAACATTTACTTCATGAATGTACTTTTGCTACCCCCCCCCGGGGGGGGGTGGAGTGGTGGTGTTGAGGTGAGGGTAAGGGGTAGGCAGCGCTCTAGGGACAGGTGGAGTGAATTCTCTGCAAACAAGGTCAGTCGATAAACATTCACTAAGGGCCTACTATGTGCCAGGAACAGTGTTACACTCTGGGGATACAAATAGGAAAAAAGACAGTTCTTGCCCTCAAGGAGCTTCATATCTAAAGGGGGAAGACAATAATCAAAAGGAAACTGAACGGGAAAGGCGAAGGCAAAAGGAGAGGATGAAGGAGAGAAGATACCAGAGGCCAGGCCAGGTGAAGTCAGTCTCAAAATAGGGCAGGTAGATGAGAAATGAGGAGGCACCAATATTCTGTACTTTTAAAAAATGTTTTGTGTGTGTGTGTGTGTGAGAGAGTGAGAGAGAGAGAGAGAGAGAGAGAGAGAGAGAATACAATCTGGCAACATCTACAAATTATAGTAGTGATAATAATTATCAACTACGATATCTTTTAGAGGTTGCAGGAATCATTGTGACATGTCAGCAAAATACGGATTATTGGAGATTTTCTAACATTTGATATAATGTTATGAAAATTAATCATTTTCACATTTATATAAAGACATTTTTACATTTATATATAGGACAAATGATCAAAATCTAAGAGATGGAAGGGATCTCAAAGGTTATCCAACCTCCCCTTGAAGAACTCCAGTGATGTGGAACCCACTATTTTGTGGACAGTTCTATATGAACATTTTTCCTCATACTGAGCAGAAAATTTAAGTTTGCAACTCTTGCCCGTTATTGCTAGGTCTTCCCCTATGAAGACAAACAGAGCAAATGTAGAATCCTTCTTTTTCACAGGGTAGCTCTTCAATTACCTGAAGATAACGTATACCTCCTGAGTCTATTTTTTTCAAGCTTAACCTCCCTTGTTCCTTAACTGACCCACATATGGCGCGATCTTTAGTGTTCTCACTCTCCTGGTTAACATCCTTCTTAAAACATGGAATCCCAAGTATAATAGATGTGGTCTGATCAGGGCAGGGACTATCAAGAGACAGGGAAGGCCCTCCATGCTGGACCCCATGCTTCTTCTGGGTAAAAGAACATCTCTGAATAGGAAAAGAGCATTTTCTCAATCTAAGTATTTTCTGGCCTCAAAAACAACTGGAAATGGTGGTTGTTTCCACCAAATGGGTACTGCTTATAGAGTTAAAACTTTTCCTAATTAGAAAATACACTTTTGTTGGAGGTCAATGAAGAGTCTTAGGGAAAGGCATGTTGAACATCAGCAGAAGACTTGTAGAGCACAGGGGAACTCCACTAGATGTCTCTTGGTTTATAAAAGTTCAGTTCAATAAGCATTTATTCAGTTCTTACTAGGTACAATTAGAGATATTAAGAAGAAAACATTATCTGCCCTCAAAGAATTTATATTTTTTTGAGGGAAAGATGTATATAAATAAGTGGATATAAAATAATTTCAGAAGGGAGAGAGTACTAATAACTGAGGGGATCAAGGAAGGCTTATTACTAAAGGAGATAGCACCTAACTTGAGCCCTGAAGCGAAGGTAGGGATTTTAAGAAGAAACAAAGATCACAAGATCTTAGATCTAGATCTGAAAGTTAACTTAGAAGCTATTTAGTTCAACCTCCACATTTTACAAATGAGGAAACTGAGGCCTAAGAAATTTAAACGACTTGCTCAAGGTCATAGAAGCAGGAAGCATCAACGACAGAATATTAACCTAATTCCTCTGACTCCTGCAAAACCATGTTCTTTCCACTCTACTACACTGCCTTCTTATATTACATTTCCTGCAACAGCACAGGTAGGGATCACATGTCCAGTTCAAGGAACAGCTAGGAAGATAATTTGGCTGGAGCACAAATTGCAAAAAGGGGAATGATAGCACCACTGCCTATAGGAAAATCTTTCCCGGTCCGCTAAGCTGCTAGTACCTTTCCTTCTAAGGCTACCTTCCACCTACTCTGTGTGGTAGATGCTGTCTCTCTCACTAGAGTATAAGTTTCTTGAAGGCAAGTGCTGTTTGCTTCTTTTTATCTCCAGTGCTTAGAACAGTGCCTAGCATGTAGTAAGTGCTTAATAAATGCTTGTTAACTGATTAATAAATATGAAATAAGTCTGGAAAGATATACTGCAGTCAGATTGTAAAGGGCTTTAAATGCCTGACTGAGGAGTTTGTTTAATTCAGTAACCTATGTGACTCAACTTCTACCCTTTAATCAAAGAGGTGTGCATTCTCCACCAGTCTGCTCTTATCAGTGAGCTTTGGCTAGCACTGGGTGTCCTTCTTATGAGAATGGTCGCTATTGGCAGGAAGTTCGTTTTGCTTTCAGCTATTCTCTGCTCAGTATTATTTTTCCCCCTTTTCTTTTTAAAAAAATTCTGAACTAAATAAAATGGTCATTCCCATATACATAGAACAAAAAGAGGATTGTACATGATACTGAAGATCTCTTGTGTACAACATGCTTTTTTCTTAAGGTATTTAAGTTTCACGCATAGCATTCAAAACTGTGCAGCCTGTTTGCCTTTCTTTCATCAGCATTTAAAAAAAAAGGCACCTCAGTGACTTTTATTTTTTTCCTGCTTTTTTTCCTCTACTCTATCCCTATCTCTATCCCTTTTTACATTCCTACCCCACCCCCACTGGAAAGAAAAGAAAAACCAATCCTGTGCAACAAATACATACAATCAAGCAAAACAAATTCCCACATTGTACAAAAATGCATGTCTTATTCTGTACCTCAAATCTACTGACTCTTTGGTCAAAAAGGGGCTCGAATGCTTTACCACCAGTACTCTAGAAAGATAGTTGGTCACAGAATTCTTAATTCTTTCAAACTTGCTTTTCTTTATAATGTGACTGGTATAAATTCTTCTGGTTCTATTTATCTCACTCTGTATTGGTTCATATAAGTCTTCCTAGGCTTCTCTGAAACCATTCATTTAGTAATTTCTTATGGTAAAATAATATTTCATTATGTTCATACACTGTAATTTGTTCAGCCTATTCCCAAATGACATTCTTGTATTCTAGTTCTTTGATCTTTTTTCCCTCTTTAAGTCTTCCTGAAGGATCAGGAAGTTTGTTTTGCTTGTGGCTCTTCTCTCCTCAGGATTAAAGCATCTCAAAATCACCTCCTTCCCCTACCTTGCTAGGTCTACTGAGTTTGATGTATTTATATACCAAATTGTGTCTGTGTTCAACACTGTTAACTTCATCTGATGCTCACTCCCTTCCTCTCCTCCATGTTTAAGTATTTTTATTATTATACATTTTTTCTACAGTTGTTTATTTCTTTTACTCTCCCTTCTCTTTACTCTCTCAAAATTTCCAAAACAGAACAAATCTATTTCCAAGGCCTTTGTTTTTCTTATTAACTCCCTTCAATACCTTTCGAAGACACTATGGTTCTGTTCTGTCTTAACCCATTTATTAGGATGTTTTGTTGTTTCAGTCAGGTCCAACTCTCCATGACCCCATCTTGGGATTTTCTTGGCAAAGATAATGGAGTGGTTTGCCATTTCCTTCTCCATCTTATTTTACAGATGAGGAAACTGAGGCAAATGACGTTAAGTGACTTGCCCAGACTTGCCACATAGCAAGTGTCCTCCAGATTCCAGGGCTGGAGCTCTAGTCCTACATTATCAATCTCTCAATTGCTCAGATGTAATTACAATTCTGCTGTTCTCTGGACTCTTGATTACTAATTTCCTACTCAACTTTGGTCTTTTCATCAGAAATGCTTGTAAAATCTTCTAGGCGCTTAAAAGTCTATTTTTTTCCCTCTTGTAGAACTATACTAATATCTCTGTAGGGTGAATCATTCTTTGTTGTTAAATCTAGCTAGCTCTTGTCCTCAAACCACTGTATTCCAGATACAAAGCAAACCGCCAGGTCTTGTGTGATCCTGACTGCATTTTCTTGGTACTTGAACTCCTTTCTGCAGCATGTTTTCTTTGATGTGAGAAATCTGGGTATTGGCTATGATATCCCTGGAACTATCAGGAGGTACTTCATGGATTCTAACTTTGCCTTCTGATTCAAATACACTTGAGCAGTGTTCATTTATGATTTCCTGAAATATAGTGTCCAGAATTTTATTTTTTTTAACTACACATCTTAAGAAAGAAACTCAAGCTACCAATAGCCATTTGGAAAAAAATGCTCCAAATCACTAATAAATAATAATAATAATGATAATATAATAGAATGCAAATTAAAGCAACTCTAAGGTTCCATGTCACACCCATAAGATTGGGAAAGTTGACTGAAAACTCCAATTCATTCTCTTTTTCGAGCAATGGATCCCAAAGTGTCACTGAATATGATGGCATATTTATACAGTTATAAGCATAGGGGAGCTATATTAGGAATGGGAAGTGAGAGGGGTTTTAGTGAAATCAGGAGTGGGGAGAGCAGAAGCTTCAAAGATACATGCAACATTCAAACTAGGCCATTGAGTCTTGAGATCCTGAGGAAAAGGGGGTTTTGGTATGAGATTATACAATGCAGCAGCCCAAATAAAATAACATATGCATGACCACCTTCATGGGGAGTAGATGAGGGAGAGAGACAGATTCCTATGCCTTGAGCCAGATGGACAG